AACAAACCAACCGGTTTCGTTCCAAGCTCATCAGAGTCGACTGGGAACAATTTAACAATTATTGCAATATATATTGACTCACACAGACGCCCTACATACAATTAAAACATTAAAGAATGAAATGATTAATGGTATGAGGGGGAAAAAATCAAACCGCGCGAATTTGCACAGCGCAAAGGAAAAAACATGGGGAGTGTGAGGGGAATGTATGATACACACTAGAGTCTACTAACATGAAGCCCAAGGAGACAGTCTTTTTGCTTCTAGGAAATAAATGGTATCTATTCATTGTAATATATATATATATATATATATATATATATATATATATATATATATATATTCAAATTCAAGTTTGTTTAAATAATTTAGACTTACTATGTCTTTATTTTGTTTTAATCCTTTCGAGTCCACGAATCAATTTCTTGGTAGCCGTTCAAAATCGATTTAAAAAATACCATAATTTTCTTTCAAATAATTTTCCCAAGTACTTTCAATCTCAGCTGAGGCCATCTTCAGAGTTTTAAATTGTCTATGTATACGTATTTCTGTATATTCAAACCATTTTCCTGTACATTTTAATGCGTTTTATATCGTATATATCAATTTCAAATTCACGAGTATTTTTCCACGCAAGGGATGCAATTTTTATATATATATATATATATATATATATATATATATATATATATATATATATATATATATATATAACTTTCCTGCTGCAAATATTTAAGAATTTTATTTTTATACTCATAAGTGACTTTATTCATTTTTGGCTTTACTTCTAGTATTTTAATATTTGCTTATTATTATTTTAGTGTAATATAGATGTATTTTCAACTAATATTTGTCTAAACTGTGAATGTCAAGTATTCCTAAAATGCTCTAAGATTGAACTATGCTCATCCAAATAAAATGTAAGCCGTATCGACAGCATCGTCGTTGCAAAACCCATCTATATAATAAATCTCTGTCTATAACATTTTTTTCAATTAAAGGGACACAACTGTCTAACTTTTAAAAATCTCATATTTCTCTATATAAATAAATGCAAATGGCAGTGTGTCACACTTTTCAACATTCCTCAGACCGATTCCGTGATCAAATTGAAAACATTCCAGCCGGATCCGAACCCACAATTCAGAAATCCAGCGAAAGTCACTCATGAAAGAAAAATAATTTTTTCTATGTAAAGTAAGGACCTACGTTCATCATATTGTCTTTAAATTAAAATGACGTGCAAGAATTATCGTTGAACTTTTAAAACGCAAGATTAAATATTACTGCCATACTTGAATGCAGCGATCAATTCTTAGTTCTTCTGTAGTTTATTGTTACCTATCACATCTCCTCCCTACCTATTGTGATAAAGGTCCAATCAAGAACCCACCACAGGAGCTAGCTTAAATGCCGCTCTATTGTGCGGCTTTTTAAGCTTATATATATATATATATATATATATATATATATATATATATATATATATATATATATATAATAGCAGTATAACTCGTCTTCGACCGGGTGTTTCATTTACTGGGAATTTTTGCCGTTCAGTTGGAGCAGTTTAAGTTTAAAGTCAGCGCACCCGAAAATCAATATTAGTAATAACAATTAGGTGCATGCAATAGTGTTCAATCACTGATACACGACGTATGTTGCGTGAGTTGTGGGTTGTTTGTTATACAACGCATATAGAACATTATTACGGTCAGAGTCTCAATATACAGGTAACTGATGTGACCTGATGTAGTTTTAGCACAGATTATCGTATACTATAGCTTAACTTCATTTACCGGAAGGTTTTGGCCACTGGCAGCCTACCGTATGTTTGGGAGTCGACCTATACGGTAGGTATAGGCCTAAATCAGAATTTGGGGCTTAAAATAATGAGGTTGATGGGTATGCTAGGTCGACATGAACGCTGATATTTTACGGTCGTAGTGACTTCGATACTCACTGGGTGCCTCATACAACATTGATCATTAACCCAACAGACGTTGGACTATCGTAAAATCAATCATCTAACAACTATTCATATAACAAAAAAAGAAATTTCATTCTAGGAAAGCGTGGATATAGAATTAATTTAGGATTTTTTTTTTCTAATTTATTTCACCCCAAGCAAGGTAATAAAGCCACAAAGGTGCAAGGGATTGCTGGGTGTGGAAGAGTTAGAAACAGAGGCTTTGATAAGGAGCGAGAACAGGGGAAGAGTAATTAGGACAGGAGATAGCGATTGGCATTGCATTTAAGTTTTTGGCAGGTTAAAGTTGGTTGGAAAGCATAGAACCAGAAGAGAGTTCCAAAAGTGAGAAGTACGAGAAAATAAATTATTAGCATAGAATTTACGGTTAAGTCTAGTCAACTCCATTGAATATTGCAGAGACCTCGTAAACAGTTTTAATACTGCGCTTAAATTCAAAGAGTCTAGGCACCACGGCGCAGAGTTTGTCTGAACAATTGCCATGAAAGTATTTATAGAAAAGGCAAAGGGAAGCAACCTTATGGTGATGGGAAAATGATTGAAGTCAAGACGCCAAATCAAAGCCAAATTACATTTGATTGTAGGAAAGCGTGAATGTAGAATTAATTTAACAAAATATAAGAGGAGAATTGTTTTTACTGGTTTTGAAATTGTTCCATTCCGAGAATTTAATCCTTTTGTCCATAAATTGGACAGCTACGGCGGCAAAAACCATTCGACAGACTTCGGCACGTCCGCGGCCATTGAAGTAGTACAGAGTGTAAACAGGCATTGTGTAGGGTGTCTGTGTTTGTTTTAATGCTTCGAGACGACAGATCAGGGCTAATTTACATTTGATTCTAGGAAAATGTGAATGTAGAATTAATTTAACCAAATATTTTTTTAATTTAGTTCACCCCAAGCAAGGTTATAAAGCCACAAAGACGCAAGGGTTTGATGTGTGTGGAAGAGTTAGAAACAGAGGCGAGAACAGAGGAAGAGTAATTAAGACCGGAGATAGAGTTTGGCATTTAGTATTCGATTAACGCTCGAGCACTTATCGCGTCCAATCACTGATACACTAAGTGTAAACATTGATTGAATCGTGGCGTAATTCAAACAAACTTTCAGGCAACTACAAACGATACACAGCAGTACTATCAAAAAACTGTCTGGTTTGAAGTGTAATCTAAGGTATTAATATTTTATAGGAGTCGATGTTGAACTTAATATATTTATCAATAGACCTGACGAATTATAAATGTTTGCTAAATTATATCGATACAATATACGTTAGCTAATGGCGTGTATTGTAAGTTGTTTCCTGTACAACGATTTTGGAAACATATTACGGTTAGTGTTTTAATGTACTGATAAATAGTGTGACCTTATGTAGCTTTAGAACAGGTTATCGGATATTATAGCCTGACTTCATTTACCGGTAGGCCTAAGTTTTGGACTACTGGTAGCCTACTAATGTTTGGGAGGTCGACCTATACGATAGGTATAGGCCTACCTTATCATGTCGACTACCTTATTCTTATGGTTGGGCTATACAGTATGTATAGGCCTAAATCAGAACTTTCAGTTAAAGATCTTGAGGTCGACTTGTACGCCGTGTCGACTTATACGCCGCAATGTACGTAAATTAGACAGACGTCAGCTACTAACGACAAAAACGTAAGTGTACAAAACTTTCACAGGATATGGGCCGCGATTATTAGTACATTTTTTATTCCCTGGAGAGATAAAGTATTTTCAATTTTTCTTGAGTTCCTCTCTTTATCAGACCCAAAGCTCCAATCACAACTTCCTGGGTATGACGATAAACTACATGCACATCCTGGGTAAGACGATAAACGACATCTAACAAAAAGGCATCTGAAAATGAGGTTTTGAAGAGCGTAACCACCTGTTCTCAGGTTCTCCTTAAGCCGGGTTGGTAGCACCTGTCAGGGTCCCAACTATGGGCAAATAGTTAACACCCAAACTGGGGTTAAAACACTATGAAAGTTTACAAATAGATTTTAATATCGGCAATACATTTTTGAAGCAATATTTACATTATTCGGACTATTTTCCTCATCTTTGTCGCCATATTTATTAGTAATAAATATGGCAACAAAGATGAGGACAATAGTCCGAATAATGTAAATAAAATACATAATACATCATCTCAGAAATATAGACAAATTTTTGAAGGAAAATTATTACCAGCAATACTTTTTTTACCAGCAATATATTTTTGCAGAAAATAAATATTACCAGCGAGAGATGTTTCAGCTTTAAGTTTTTTTTTCTTTGTATAGAATGAAGTATTCTGTTCTGTTAGGTTGAAAAGGAAATCAGAAAAAGGGTCTAGTTTATTTTGCTATTACCACAGAGCCATATAAGATAAAAGGTTTTTAAAAAATTACCATTTTGAAAGAAAAAACAAAGGGTTAAAAATATTGCCATTTTTAAAGAAAAAACAATATGACCATCAAGAAATTTTTGAGGAAAATATTACCTGCAATACATTTTTGAGGAAAAATTATTATCGGTAATACTTTTTAAAGTAATGCATTTTTGAAGAAAAAGTATTTACCAGCAATATATTGGAAAAAATATAACGAGCAATAAAAATCTTGTCGGCATTAAATAACCCATTAAGATTGATATGCCGTAAAACAAATCAAACCATATCAAAGCAAAGCCACCAAAACAGTAACAAACAAAATCTTTAAGATTTTATGTTTCACATTTGTTTTCTGTTTTCATCAACAGATCTTTGTATTGGCTTAGTTTTATCAAAAAACATTCGCAAAGTTGCTAATATAGCAATTGATGTTTCTGCTTTAAGTATTTTTCTTTGTATAGAATGAAGTATTCTGTTCTGTTAGGTTAAAAAGGAAAGCAGAAAAAGAGTCTAGTGTATTTTGCTATTACCACAGAGCCATATACGATAAAAGGTTTAAAATTAAACGGACACCATTGAACCATATAAAGTACAAGACTTCTTTCTTGTTAATTAGCAGGGTAAATTATACAAATGCCGTTCATTTACGTGCTCAGGTAGGCGGCATTAAAATAACTTTGTAAAAAGTATTCAGGTTTTCCGGAATTAGATTTTTTTACAAGGACTTCGGAGGAGGAACAATTAGAAATGTTTGTCACGCCCAGATTCAAAATTAGTAATTCCTACGCCAAAATGGAATTTCTTTCTGCTAGGATTAACCCTTTAAAACTGCACGGATTTCTTAATTGATCTTCTAATAAATCTTAATTCTTACCATTTTCCCTTTTAAAATGGGGAAGTCGTTGATTTCAGATGCGACCTGTGCGGATACATTTTCGGTCGGTAATTTGATCAGTTCCGCGGTTGAGCCAGGATCCGTCGCCCGGGATGCAGAGATGAAAAAAATAGTTAAATATTCTTATCTTGCTGATAGATTTTTTTTTTTACTCCTGTGACAGTGGAGACTTTTGGGGTTATTGGCCTTCGTTCGATGGCGTTCCTTCGGAGGATTGGCGCGATTGCGTCTTGATTAAAGGACGAGCCTCGCGAAACGAAGTGGCTCTTGCAGCGTGTCTCACTGGCGATGGTTCGAGGTAATGCTTTCTCCATCATTGCGGCTGGCAGAGGTTCGAAAAAATCGTTTATAGTTACGTTTTTCTGGAATTGTCATCAGTGGTCAAGTGTACTTGTTTTGTTTCAATAAATTATCATCATTCTTAAGTTAATCATTAAGTAGGCCCATGTCGACAATGCTCATACGATAATAAAATATCCGTAGAAATTCCCTTATCGCATCGTTAAACATTTGAGCTTAAAAACTTAAAGAAAATATTTGTCTATATCTCTGAGATGAGGTATTATGATTACTTACATTATTCGGACTGTTATCCTCATCTTCATTGCCATACTCACAACGTCTCGTTCGTTGTACGCTTTGGCCTTCTTCGGGTGATTGGTTATTTCGAACTGCACACTTTATTTCGTTCACCGGGTTAGATTGTTCTAGTTCCACGTGACATGACTCTACCGCATGTCTCAGTTATTTCCCTTTAACTCAAATTTCTAAGTTTTTGATCCACCACTGCTGTGGCCTGGTATTGAATTCCATATAGATCAGCTCACAAGTTGTGGCCTGGTATTGAACGCACAACGCTTTCGGTGTAGTCTCTTGATCTAACTTTATCCACTGGGTCATGTGTCCTTGAGGACATCTGTGTATGATTTTTTTTTCTTTTTTTTTACTTATAAACCTAATGTCTCATTAAACATTTTCCGAATTTCCAATCCCATGAAGAAAGCCGGAGCGTACAACAGCCGAAACGTTGCGAATATAGCAATGAAAATGAAGATAACAGTCCGAATGACGTAATTAATTTCAGAAATCATTTGAGATTAATAACTCAAAGAAAACAAGAATTTCCGTAACAACCAAAAAAATGTCAGAGCTTGACAAAATATTAGAATATAAAATCATAACTATGAATGCTGGTCGATATTTTAAGAAGTAAGGGGATACAAATGAAAAGACTTTAAATAGAAAACGTTTTTTTATATTTCACTGAAACAGCCGCTAAACAATCTTACCTAACCTTCCTTCATTCTCTCCATATTCCATTCATTTTCATTTATTTAATACATTTCATCACTGAAGCGACATAGATTATGTTTTGACTTTCTACGCATTCAATCCCGGATATAAGGGACCCGGATATAAGAGAAACCCGGATATAATACAGACTTTCTCTGGTCCCAAAGTGTTCCCATACTTACCTAAACAAAATAGACCAAACTCGGATATAAGAGAAAATCGGATATAAGAGACTTGTCTTTTTTAGAACGGTCCCGACAAGTATAAACATTTTTTCTTTCTTTCTTTCTTTCTTTCTTTCTTTCTTTATTCTCGAAATCCCCATTTGGATTATTTAATATTCATTCTATATTTTTGTCTTTCTACGCACTTAGAAATTATTTTATTATTTATGAAGTACTGGCAGGAGAAGTTAAACATTTCTAACTTCCTTCACTCTTTCTTTCTTTTTTCTTTCTTTCTTTCTCGGCAACTCCCCATTTGCGATTTTCTTTAATATTCATTCTATTTTTGTCTTTCTACGAAATTTTTTAATATTCATTCTATATTTTTTTAAACATTTCTAACTTCCCTTTTTCTTTTCTTTGTTTCTTTTATTATTTATGGCAAATCCCCCATTTGAGAAATTTCTTTAATATTCATTCTATATTTTTGTCTTTCTACGCACTTCGAAGGGATTGTTTTTTTAATTATATTCTCAGGAAGTTAAACATTTCTAACTTCCTTTCATTCTTTCTTTCTTTCTTTCTTTCTTTATTTGCCCCAAAAATTTCTTTAATATTCATTCTATATTTTTGTCTTTCTACGCACTTCGAAGGGATTATTTTATTATTTATGAAGTACTGGCAGGAGAAGTTAAACATTTCTAACTTCCCTTCACTCTTTCTTTCTTTGTTTCTTTCTTTATTCTCGGCAAATCCCCCATTTGCGAAATTTCTTTAATATTCATTCTATATTTTTGTCTTTCTACGCACTTCGAAGGGATTATTTTATTATTTATGAAGTACTGGCAGGAGAAGTTAAACATTTCTAACTTCCTTTCATTCTTTCTTTCTTTGTTTCTTTCTTTATTCTCGGCAACTCCCCATTTGCGAAATTTCTTTAATATTCATTCTATATTTTTGTCTTTCTACGCACTTCGAAGGGATTATTTTATTATTTATGAAGTACTGGCAGGAGAAGTTAAACATTTCTAACTTCCCTTCACTCTTTCTTTCTTTGTTTCTTTCTTTATTCTCGGCAACTCCCCCATTTGCGAAATTTCTTTAATATTCATTCTATATTTTTGTCTTTCTACGCACTTCGAAGGGATTATTTTATTATTTATGAAGTACTGGCAGGAGAAGTTAAACATTTCTAACTTCCTTCTTTCTTTCTTTGTTTCTTTCTTTTCTCGTCCCCCATTTGCGAAATTTCTTTTATTTCATTCTATATTTTTGTCTTTCTTTCATTTCGAAGAAATTTCTTTATTTATATTCATTTCTATTCCCTTCATTTTTTTCTTTGTTTCTTTCTTTATTCTCACAACTCCCCATTTGCGAAATTTCTTTATTTCATTTATATTTTTGTTTTCTTTTTATTAATTATAGGAGAAAGTTAAACATTTCTAACTTCCTTTCATTCTTTCTTTCTTTCTTTTATTCTCGGCAAATTTGCAAAATTTCTTTCTTTTTTTCTTTCTACGCACTTCTTATTTTATTATTTATGAAGTACTGGCAAGAAGTTAAACATTTCCCCCTTTTTTCTTTCTTTGTTTCTTTCTTTATTCTCAGACCACGTCCCCATTTCTTTAATATTCATTCTATATTTTTTGTCTTTCTACGCACTTCAGAAGGGATTATTTTATTATTTATGAAGTACTGGCAGGAGAAGTTAAACATTTCTAACTTCCCTTCACTCTTTTCTTTCTTTCTTTCTTTTTTCTTTATTCTCGGCAACTCCCCATTTGCGAAATTTCTTTAATATTCATTCTATATTTTTGTCTTTCTACGCACTTCGAAGGGATTATTTTATTATTTATGAAGTACTGGCAGGAGAAGTTAAACATTTCTAACTTCCCTTCACTCTTTCTTTCTTTGTTTCTTTCTTTATTCTCGGCAAATCCCCCATTTGCGAAATTTCTTTAATATTCATTCTATATTTTTGTCTTTCTACGCACTTCGAAGGGATTATTTTATTAATTATGAAGTACTGGCAGGAGAAGTTAAACATTTCTAACTTCCTTTCATTCTTTCTTTCTTTCTTTCTTTATTCTCGGCAAATCCCCCATTTGCAAAATTTCTTTAAGATTCATTCTATATTTTTGTCTTTCTACGCACTTCGAAGGGATTATTTTATTATTTATGAAGTACTGGCAGGAGAAGTTAAACATTTCTAACTTCCCTTCACTCTTTCTTTCTTTGTTTCTTTCTTTATTCTCGGCAACTCCCCCATTTGCGAAATTTCTTTAATATTCATTCTATATTTTTGTCTTTCTACGCACTTCGAAGGGATTATTTTATTATTTATGAAGTACTGGCAGGAGAAGTTAAACATTTCTAACTTCCCTTCATCTTTCTTTCTTTCTTTCTTTCTTTATTCTCGGCAAATCCCCATTTGCAAAAATTTCTTTAATATTCATTCTATATTTTGTCTTTCTTTATTTTATTATTTATGTCTTTCCCTTCACTCTTTCTTTCTTTGTTTCTTTCTTTTCTCAGCAAATCCCCCATTTGCAAAATTTCTTTAATATTCATTCTATTTTTTGTCTTTCTACGCATAGAGATTATTTTATTATTTATGAGTACTGGCAGGAGAAGTTAAACATTTCTAACTTCCTTCACTTTTCTTTCTTTTGTTTCTTTCTTTTATTCTCAGCAAATCCCCATTTGCAGAAATTTCTTTAATATTCATTCTATATTTTTTGTCTTTCTACGCACTTCGAAGGATTATTTTATTATTTATGAAGTACTTATTTAGGAGAAGTTAAACATTTCTAACTTCCCTTCTTTTTCTTTCTTTCTTTCTTTTCTTTATTCTCGGCAAATCCCCCATTTGCGAAATTTCTTTAATATTCATTCTATATTTTGTCTTTCTACGCACTTAGAAGGGATTATTTTATTAATTATGAAGTACTGGCAGGAGAAGTTAAACATTTCTAACTTCCTTTTTTTCTTTCTTTCTTTCTTTTTTCTTTATTCTCAGCAAATCCCCATTTGCTTTCTTTAATATTCATTCTATATTTTTTGTCTTTCTACGCACTTAGAAGGGATTTTTTATTTATTTATACTGGCAGGAGAAGTTAAACATTTCTAACTTCCCTTTTTTCTTTCTTTCTTTCTTTCTTTATTCTCGGCAAATTTTCGAAATTTCTTTAATATTCATTCTATATTTTTGTCTTTCTACGCACTTCGAAGGGATTATTTTATTATTTATGAAGTACTGGCAGGAGAAGTTAAACATTTCTAACTTCCCTTCACTCTTTCTTTCTTTGTTTCTTTCTTTATTCTCAGCAAATCCCCATTTTCGAAATTTCTTTAATATTCATTCTATATTTTTGTCTTTCTACGCACTTAGAAGGGATTATTTTATTATTTATGAAGTACTGGCAGGAGAAGTTAAACATTTCTAACTTCCCTTCACTTTTCTTTCTTTCTTTCTTTTTTTTCTTTATTCTCGGCAAATCCCCCATTTGCGAAATTTCTTTAATATTCATTCTATATTTTGTCTTTCTACGCACTTAGAAGGGATTATTTTATTATTTATGAAGTACTGGCAGGAGAAGTTAAACATTTCTAACTTCCTTCACTTTTTTCTTTCTTTCTTTTTCTTTATTCTCGGCAAATCCCCATTTGCGAAATTTCTTTAATATTCATTCTATATTTTTGTCTTTCTACGCACTTAGAACGGATTATTTTATTATTTATGAAGTACTGGCAGGAGAAGTTAAACATTTCTAACTTCCCTTCACACTTTCTTTCTTTCTTTCTTTCTTTATTCTCGGCAAATCCCCCATTTGCGAAATTTCTTTAATATTCATTCTATATTTTTTGTCTTTCTACGCACTTAGAAGGGATTATTTTATTATTTATGAAGTACTGGCAGGAGAAGTTAAACATTTCTAACTTCCCTTCACACTTTTTTCTTTCTTTCTTTCTTTATTTTGTCGGCAAATCCCCATTTGCGAAATTTCTTTAATATTCATTCTATATTTTTGTCTTTCTACGCACTTAGAAGGGATTATTTTATTATTTATGAAGTACTGGCAGGAGAAGTTAAACATTTCTAACTTCCCTTCACTCTTTCTTTCTTTGTTTCTTTCTTTATTCTCGGCAAATCCCCCATTTGCGAAATTTCTTTAATATTCATTCTATATTTTTGTCTTTCTACGCACTTAGAAGGGATTATTTTATTATTTATGAAGAACTGGCAGGAGAAGTTAAACATTTCTAACTTCCTTTCTTTTCTTTCTTTCTTTCTTTTCTTTATTCTCGGCAAATCCCCATTCTATTTTTTGCTTTCTACGAAATTTCTTTAATATTCATTCTATATTTTTTTCTTTCTTTCTACGCACTTAGAAGGGATTATTTTATTATTTTTGAAGTACTGGCAGGAGAAAGTTAAACATTTCTAACTTCCCTTCTTTCTTTCTTTCTTTCTTTCTTTCTTTATTCTCAGCAAATTCCCCATTTGCGAAATTTCTTTAATATTCATTCTATATTTTTGTCTTTCTACGCACTTAGAAGGATTATTTTATTATTTATGAAGTACTGGCAGGAGAAGTTAAACATTTCTAACTTCCCTTCACACTTTCTTTTTTTTCTTTCTTTCTTTATTCTCGGCAAATCCCCATTTTTCTTTGTTTTCTTTAATATTCATTCTATATTTTTGTCTTTCTACGCACTTAGAAGGGATTATTTTATTATTTATGAAGTACTGGCAGGAGAAGTTAAACATTTCTAACTTCCCTTCACTCTTTCTTTCTTTGTTTCTTTCTTTATTCTCGGCAAATCCCCCATTTGCGAAATTTCTTTAATATTCATTCTATATTTTTGTCTTTCTACGCACTTTAGAAGGGATTATTTTATTATTTATGAAGTACTGGCAGGAGAAGTTAAACATTTCTAACTTCCCTTCACTCTTTTCTTTCTTTTCTTTCTTTCTTTATTCTCGGCAAATTCCCCATTTGCGAAATTTCTTTAATATTCATTCTATATTTTTGTCTTTCTACGCACTTAGAAGGGATTATTTTTTTTATTTATGAAGTACTGGCAGGAGAAGTTAAACATTTCTAACTTCCCTTTCTTTTGCTTTCTTTCTTTCTTTCTTTATTTTATCGAGCAAATCCCCATTTGCGAAATTTCTTTCTTTAATATTCATTCTATATTTTTGTCTTTCTACGCACTTAGAAGGGATTATTTTATTATTTATGAAGTACTGGCAGGAGAAGTTAAACATTTCTAACTTCCCTTCACACTTTCTTTCTTTCTTTCTTTCTTTATTCTCGGCAAATCCCCCATTTGCGAAATTTCTTTAATATTCATTCTATATTTTTGTCTTTCTACGCACTTAGAACGGATTATTTTATTATTTATGAAGTACTGGCAGGAGAAGTTAAACATTTCTAACTTCCCTTCTTTCCTTTCTTTCTTTCTTTCTTTATTCTCGGCAAATCCCCATTTGCGAAATTTCTTTAATATTCATTCTATATTTTTGTCTTTCTACGCACTTAGAACGGATTATTTTATTATTTATGAAGTACTGGCAGGAGAAGTTAAACCTTTCTAACTTTCCTTTCTTTTTCTCTTTCTTTCTTTCTTTCTTTCTTTCTTTATTCTCGGCAAATCCCCCATTTGCGAAATTTCTTTTCTCGGCAATATTCATTCTATATTTTTGTCTTTCTACGCTTTTTAGAAGGATTATTTTATTATTTATGAAGTACTGGCAGGAGAAGTTAAACATTTCTAACTTCCCTTCACACTTTCTTTTCTTTCTTTCTTTCTTTATTCTCGGCAATTTTATTTGCGAAATTTCTTTAATATTCATTCTATATTTTTGTCTTTCTACGCACTTCGAAGGGATTATTTTATTATTTATGAAGTACTGGCAGGAGAAGTTAAACCTTTCTAACTTCCCTTCTTTCTTTCTTTCTTTCTTTCTTTCTTTCTTTATTCTCGGCAAATCCCCCATTTGCGAAATTTCTTTAATATTCATTCTATATTTTTGTCTTTCTACGCACTTAGAAGGGATTATTTTATTATTTATGAAGTACTGGCAGGAGAAGTTAAACATTTCTAACTTCCCTTCACACTTTCTTTCTTTCTTTCTTTCTTTATTCTCGGCAATTCCCCCATTTGCGAAATTTCTTTAATATTCATTCTATATTTTTGTCTTTCTACGCACTTAGAAGGGATTATTTTATTATTTATGAAGTACTGGCAGGAGAAGTTAAACATTTCTAACTTCCCTTCACTTTCTTTTTCTTTCTTTCTTTCTTTATTCTCGGCAAATCCCCATTTGCGAAATTTCTTTAATATTCATTCTATATTTTTTGTCTTTCACGCACTTAGAACGGATTATTTTATTATTTATGAAGTTTGTCTGGCAGGAGAAGTTAAACATTTCTAACTTCCTTCACACTTTCTTTCTTTCTTTCTTTTTCTTTATTCTCGGCAATTCCCCCATTTTGCGAAATTTCTTTAATATTCATTCTATATTTTTGTCTTTCTACGCACTTCGAAGGGATTATTTTATTATTTATGAAGTACTGGCAGGAGAAGTTAAACATTTCTAACTTCCTTCACTCTTTCTTTCTTTGTTTTCTTTCTTTTTATTCTCGGCAAATCCCCCATTTGCGAAATTTCTTTAATATTCATTCTATATTTTTGTCTTTCTACGCACTTAGAAGGGATTATTTTATTATTTATGAAGTACTGGCAGGAGAAGTTAAACAT